AAGGCGGGCAACCTTCTGCAGTTACCCTTAGAAATCTCGGAAAGGTAGAAAAAATAATTCTTAATGTGAATGTAGAAGACAAGAGCCTGGGCTAATTGTATGTTTTCGACATTTCATAAAAGCAGATTTGTGGGCTGGATGTGGTGCCTGAGACCAGCAACTGGGTCAGACTGAGAAATTGAAAAAAGGAAAACCCACATGCACATAGCACATGCTCCTGATGTTCAGTACAACGGAGTGAGAACAATGGTGCCACAAACTGAAAGTGAAAGGAGGGGTGCTGCCCACACTGAGGAGGTACGCAGGCTGTCACTGTGCTTGCCTCCTCCCCAGCCCTCCGTCCTCAGCCCACCTACTCAAGAAAACCCGTTCTCGGCATTGCCAGCAGCTGCGCCACTGCAGCCAGACCTCATTCCGGGTTGGGGGGTGGTGACTAGGGGGCGCAAATATAGTCTTTCTTAGATGATTTTGGTCATTTTGCTCGCTCATGGGTCATGGCTACAGATGGTTCCCATGCTTGAACACAAATGCTCATATGTGAAAAGCATTCCTCTTCCCTTCCTATCTGCCCACTCAACCCCTCTACCTGAGTCTTCCCCTGGCATAGCCTAAATCTTTCAGGAGATCAAAACCTGAGCTTACACTGCCATCTAATGGATAGCACATATTTTAGGGGTGACGACAGTTGACAGCTACTGAAACTGTGTTTTGATTCCTTGATGAAAATATTTCGTGAGTTGACAGAGTACATGTTGCTCTCACTGTCCAGCTCCTTGTTAGTTGATTTGAAGCATAGGTGGGCTTTTGAATCACTCAGAATATGTCTTGCTTTTATTGACTAGGCCGTCACTTCACTGGGTACGTTTAAGGCTAAAATCTAGTTATTGGGAACAAACATTGAAGTTTTGACTCTGTTCTTTGTTGCTGTTGCCACAGTGTTTCTTCCCTTCCTGGTGCTCACGGGAAGCAATTGTCTGTGTTCTAAATCAAGTCTCCACCCTTCTCCTAAATTTGTGTCTTTCTAAATTTGTGGTTGTGGTTTTATTTCATCCCTAAGATTGTCCAGTTCCTTACTTGTCGGTGTGCCAGATTCTAATCGCTACTATTTCCTGCAGCCTCTCTGAGGCTGTTTCCCTACTGCGGCATTGGGATGTTGAACTCACTGTGTTGTTGGCAGAATCAAGTAAAATGATACCTAGAACATTTGTCTGTGAACTCTAAAGACCTGACTATGAAGAATAATACCAACAGCAAATAACAATCTTGAATATTTATTATGTCGGAGACTGCAAACCTTCACTTGCATTATCAACTTTAATCCTCCAACTGTTCCTCAAGGGTCACTTATTTCTCTTGAATAAAGGAAAACTTAAGAGAGGATAAATAATTTCCCCAAGGGTATACAGACCAATAACAGTGAACATTGAGATTGACCCCAGAGCTGTGTTTTCACAGGAACTTGTTGTTAGCCTTCCCATTATATCAATGTATCGATACCTCAAAAAGCAGGGGACAACCTGCTTTGTGGATGTGCTCCCCACTGAGCTTCCTGGCTCCTGGCATTGTCCTACATTGTCTGTTTCACAGTCATTGTGTGGTATTTGTATGAAAGACCAGTAATGTATTTAGGCATATATTTTGGGATAGAACATTGACTGGGAGACTTCTCATTGCAAATAACACAAAATGAAAATTGCTATTGACTTAAGCAAAAAAGAAATTTATTTTCTCATAATGGAGAAAGTCCAGAGATGGCGGACTCTGACTGCTGAGTCTGTGACTCTCTAATGTCACCCAGATGTCAGGACCCTGGCTTTGCTGTCAGCTGCTCTTAGCATGACTGATGTCCTTCATAATTGCAAATAGTGCTGGAAATTTCTGGTGTTGGAACAATATCCAACACATAATAATACTATCATAAAAATATAATAGTATTGAAATAATTTTAATACACAACCAATAAAACACAATGATATCTAGAGGTGGAAAGATGGCATCTCTTTTGATTTTCCTTCTTAAAAGTATGGAGCCCTTTTCTAGAAATGTCCCAGCAGTTATTCCCTCAGACATCATTGGTCCACACAAGATCTCTCAATGAGGAGCAAGGGGACAAGGGTCAGTGTGAAGATCCAGAATATTCGCTGTTTCCCGGGAAGGCAGGCGCACGTGCTGGGAGGGGTTGTCCTGTGCTGGGAGGGGTTGTCCTGTCTGAGCTGGTGGAGTAAGTTTGTTGTGTCAACAACCAGCAGTAGCTGTTGATTTGTGATAATTGTGTCATTTGGGGCAAATTATTTGACTCCTCTGTGTTAGAATCCTGTCATGTTTAATATAACTAAGGAGGAAATCCTGATCATTTGTAGTGACTGGTATCACATACACAGTAAAAGACAAATACAGCTGTTTTGGGTTTTTTTTTTTTTTTTTTTTTACTAATTATATTGAACATGATTTAACATGGGGACAGTGTGGGCTTGGCCATTGCACCTGGGACGCAGCTACTGGGTTTCTGAGTGTTATGTCTGCACATTATACTTTCTGGCTTCACGTGTTCTCATTGAATCCCAGGTTCTTTTTTGATACCATCAGTTCTTAACTCTGGTATCTTCTCTCACACTTGTGCTGGGATTTTGGGGGCTGGCGGGGAAGTACCCAACCAAAGTAAAAGGGCAGGACTTGAGTGAAGCCAAGGTCCCTTTCTGGTCAGTGATATCTTTAATGTGTGAGTTTTGCTTGGAACTGATTCTTGTTAGATGGGGATTTCATGATGCCATTGAATAATTCACAAAATCTGTTAACAGTAGGGATTTAGTTGATATTAAGAGATTCTGTAATGCTTTTTGATTCTGGGAAGATTATTTAGCTTTCTGAACAAGCGAGTATTAAGACTACTTAGACGCCAGTTCAGTTATCATGCAGTGGTGAGGTTGGCAGAGAAGCAGCAGACCCGCCACGGGGCACGTCTCCCATGTGCCCAGGATAGGCCAGTAGTTTACATCCTGCCCTTCTCTCAGTTTAGACTGAGCTTGTGGCTCCAGGCACGGCGCTCCACACAGATGCTGCCCACCAGCTGAGGCAGAGCTTTGGGGTGTGGCCTGTGTTGTCCAAGGGAAGCATTTCTGGTTACTTAGGTAGGGCTCAACCCAAGTGGATGCTCAGTCATTAGATCCCAAAGTTGTAACTTGGAAGCACGATGTGCAAATAAATAAAAGGAGGAAAACTCCCAAAGGTGGCAGGATTTTATTACTAAGTAAAGTATCAAACCAGCATGAAGAATCCAAACCAAAATAAACTTCAAAAAATGCAGAGGTCCTTAGCTTCCCCTGAAGACTGCTGTCTGGTAAAAACGACCAACAAGCTCATAGATCACACACACACACTCCCTATACATGAACACACAATATACCACACACACAGACTGTGCATATACACACTGTACGTTCCAAAGACACACCATATACACATACTATGTGTGTACGCATTTACCCACACACACACACTTACACCATACCCCACAAGAAGATTCGGACTAACCTTTTAACTTCTGAAGCCACTGGGAAAAGGTTTAAGACTGAGTTAGTCTCTGAGTTACTGAAACTAATGGCCATGACCCTCTTCTGTTTCATCTTTTGTCTGGCCCTACAGAGCAGGGTATTCCTCCCTCCTGATCCAGAAAGCGAGCTTCCCAGTGAAAGGGTAAATGCAGTAAGGGGGGCCGAGGGGATTCTCTCTGACAGAGGTGCTGACCCAGCAGAGGTTGAGTCCAGATCTAAGTGCCGGGTTCAGAGAGGAGGTCGTGGAGAGTCAAAGTCAGAATCACCCCTGTGTGTGGGGAGGATGACGGGGCAAAGGGACTCAAACGAATAAATAAATGAATCTATCTAGAAGTTGACCTTAAAAATGTAGGTGAGGGGGCCTCCGTGGTGGTGCAGGGGTTAAAGACAGCGCTATCAAACTCTTGTCAGCCACTGCAGCACAAGTTCAAGTCCACTGGCCAGGGAGCTACCCACAGGGAGCTACCCACATGGTACAGCAGACCTCGCCTGTCTCGCCCACTGCTCCCCTCAGCAGTGTATTTCAGTAGATCTGCCTGTTTTGCTCCCCACTCTGTCTCTGGTGGATCCTCTCACTCCCCACATCTCAGTTCTTATATGCATAAATAAATAAATAAATAAATAAATCTTTAAAAAAATATAGGTGAGAATGTGAGCAGCAGAAGGGATCTAGACTGCTCTCAAAGGCTTTCCTTGAGGTTATAATAGACAAGAAAATGCAGTTTTAAGCAGTGTATTCTTCTAATGTCAGTCAGCTGATACATATGTCTTAAAACAACTTTCGTATACATAGGTCTTTAATAAAAAACATTTCAGCAGTCTGATTTGATGTTTTTATTTTATTATTTTAAAAAAAGATTTATTTATGCGTAGATGAACTGGGGTATAGGCCAAAGGCGTGGGGGGTGAGAAGATTCACCAGAGACAGAGTAGGGAGCATGACAGGTGAATCTACTGAAATACACTGCTGAGGGGAGCAGTAGGCGAGAGGAGAGAGGTCTGCTGTGCCATGTGGGTCAGCTACCTGGCTGGGGATTGAACTTAGGGTGCACGGATGATAGCACTGAGACTTAACCCCTAGGCCACCAGTGCGCCCCTGCTTTAATGTTTTGAAGTTTCAGTGGATCTAAATTTTGGTTTTACATGTCTACTGAGGGAGTGACTTCAGATTTGAATAGATTTTTCAAAAAAAAAATCATCTTCTTTAACAAATTCTTTTATTGTTGTGATTTCTTTTTTTTTTTTTTAATAAATCTGCTATCTTACATACATAAAGTATCTACATCAGGGAACTGGCTGAGCTGTGTGTAGGGAGCCCCTTCTGTGGCAGCATGTGAGGTGTCATTGGAAGGGTTTGTGTTTGTGTTTATGAAACTTGGTACTGCCAGACAAAGATCACAACTGTGGTAATAGACTTAAATTTAGATTCAAACCTTTCTTTTCTCGCAGGAGCAAATATCCCCAGAAGGACTTAGAAATGCTGTTCCCAGGAATGAGTGCCGATTTTACAAGTGAGAATTTTTCAGCTGCCTGGTATCTGATTGAGAACCACTCGACTACCAGGTGAGTGGGGGTTGGTCGGTGGCTGCAAATGACCCCCTGGGATGCAAAGTTATGTGGGTGTTGGGGGACTGGCTCTACCCCTTGGGCAGACTTTGGGTGGCACAGGAATTCCTTATGTATAAAATGGGATCATTTATAAAAGGATCATTATTTCCTTTGTTTCGTCATTTGTGCAACTCATTAAGGCTTTGGGGTCCTCTGCTGGCTGCCTGGACTGATGTGTCTGAGTGTGAGCTCTCCCTATGCAAATGGCAGAACTTTTATATCCTGGTGGAAGAGGGAACACACCTCCTTCCCTAACCAGAGAGCAAAGGATGATGGGTTGGTGACTGTTTTGCAAAGAGGTGGCTGAAAAGTAGCCAAAAATTGGACAAGATCATCTATCCAAATTCAAGTGCTCATTTCTATGTGCAAATTCCAGTCACTCCCTCTCACTACAAGAGCAGGTTTGTAATATCTGCAAAGCTGGCTTAAGATAAAATTTAGTAAAAATATTTGAATCAATGGATAACTTATTGCTTCAAATTGGTATTCTTGAAAAGACAGCTTGTTAAAATATAGCCCGGGAGAAGTTCTCCCTTTATCTGTTAGGATGAATAGCATTTGCAGAAAACCTGATGAAAAGTTGGCGTGAACATGAAGTCAGTTGACCTGTTTTTGAGCAAAGCCTGACATCTTTCAATGAAGATGGTTCTGATTTTACATTGTAGATGTGTGTCCCCTGGCTTTATTATAAAGGCAGCATTGATCTCTGTTTCCTGTGTAGGACTAGCAGGCACTCAAGAATGAATATGTTCACAGTGTTATAGCCAGCTTTTCTTAGCTCAAATGGAAACAAAACTTGGGAAACGCAGAGGCCTGCCTGTGTTTTCTCTGTGTGTGATGTAGAGATAAAATGGTACCATCTTCTCAGTTTCTTAAATTGTGAATTTAAGAATTTCTGCAGTTTCTGGTTTATGTCAGAGGACTCGGTGTCTGTGGTGAGTATAACTGCACCTCACAACTGAATGTCCTGGGGATACCACCTCTTCCCACCCAGGAGATGATGCTGGAAACTCTGGCAGTTCATAGTTATAATATATACCAGTCCTGAAAATCTCCACACGTGTATTTACATTCCAAGTAGGTCTCGCCTATTTGGAGGGACTGATTGAGGGCCTCACACCTCTTAGTGCTACTGAAATGTTGGTGCTCGGGCTAAGTGACAAGTTGAGTTCCAGGTAAGAATTTGGAAACTTTCTGCTGTTCTCTAGTTACATGTGACCTGTGTCATCTGGATCTGGCCTAACACAGGCTTTAGTGTTTCACATTGAATGTGTGATCTTATGTTTTCGTTGTTTGTTAGGCGTCTCAAGCTTGTGATTTCTGTATTTCTTCTCAGCTTTGAACAGCTCAAAATGGCTGTCACCAACCTGAAGAGACAGGCCAACAAGAAGAGCGAAGGCAGCCTGACCTATGTGAAAGGGGGTCTCAGCACTTTCTTTGAGGCGCAGGATGCCCTCTCAGGTAAGGCGACCCGGGGAGCCATCTGCTGGGCTCCCCCACCGAAACCTGACCCAGTGCGTGAGGGTGTTTACAGGGTGCGACATTCGGCCTGTATTTATAGAAGCAGAGATCTAAAATGTGCCATAAATATTTGTTGCAGACCAGGCTGGAATCTCTTTGAAGGCCTGGCACTTTAAATATTTGTCTCTGAGGCTTTTGTTGACCCACCATGCACGTATGAAATAGGAGACCACTTTGCCTCTCCTCCATTCCAATCTCCAGGGCCAGTAAGAAATTAAATCCTAATGGGTAAAATTCAAGAATTTTGGAAATCCTTTTATAGCCATCGGTATCTTCCATGTGCTAATTCTATAAATGTGACCCATCGTGTGCCTGGTTTTCAAAGAACTGGAGATCGTCTCTCATTCTTTGTAGCCGCCAGCCCACCAGGTCCCATCACACACACTCCAAGTTAACCGTCCACCATCCCTATTGTCTTCTTCACATGTGAGGGAATAGGTTTAAATTGAAGAACAGCTTCAGATATTTTGGGGGAAGATGTTGGGTAGGTTTTATTTTTTCCTTTCCAAATTTTCTTTGGTTGAATAGAAATCAAATTACTGTTTATTTAGGAAAAAATAAAACACATTGATCAAATTTAACCAAAATTTTTTTTTTAAAAACAAAGCCACTTAGAACCAAGTCCCTATAAGTTAAATACCAGTAACTCTAAGTGTTGACTCAGAGGCCACACTTTCTTCAATTCAGAAAGGCTTATTTTTATTTCTTATTAACTTGTATTTTGCAAGCACAGATATCCTTTCATTGTTTTTAAAAGCCCTTTCCTCCCAGGCCAAACATGCAGAGCTGATTTCTAACAATTTAAACATGCATTTCAAACAGCTCTTTCCTTGCAGATAAAGGTTAGGTTTTTAAAGGAGCAAAACATGAATACCAAGAGCAAGAGTAGAGATATGAGCTAATTTTTTGACCTGCAATGTTTGATGGTGTGCTTTCCTTATTTCTCTGTCCTTCCCCATGTTCTTAGTTACCAACAGTCACGGTGTGTAGGAATATTAGAGATACTAATATGCCTAGGGACCTTGTAAATGATGATTTGTCGTAGGTGATCACCAGGTCGCAGAAATTATCCTAAGTATTTCATTTAGCAAAAATACACGTTTGACTTTTCTCTCCACCCTTTTCTAAAAATACCGACTTGTATACACAGCATATTTGTGTGTGTTTATTCGTGGGTCTGCCTCTGTAAATGGTTTCACTTGGCCTTTTTTGAGAAATTTTATTTGTTGCTTTAAATTGATGGTATCTATCAATTGTATATGACGGAAAACTCTTTTGATTGTTCCTTTTGGTAATTATTTTAATGTATGGCATTTGACCTATTAGTAGGCATTTTTCTAACTCTATTCTTAAATTTGCTTTAGAAGTATATTTGTAAACTTAAGTTTAGCCACTAAGCAAATGGCTATGTAGCACCTAGAAAGTGATTTTAATTGTAAATTTGAAAATTTTGGACACAAATGCATTTATCTAGCCCAAGTTTTGTTGTTGCAACTGAAATGCACAATACAAAAGTATTGAGTAGATAATAAGCAACAACTACCTATAATCCCACTGTAAATATAACCATATTATCCTCTTGACATATTTCCTTTTGATACTTATTTTTCTTTTTTTATATGAGCACATATTACAGAGTTGGAATTATGTTGTATATGCAATTGTATATGTCAGAAAATGCTTTTCTTTTGATTTCTCCTCTTGATAATTATTTTATTATATGGTATTTGATTTATTAATAGTAGATATTTTTCCAACTCTAGTCTTTTTTTTTTAAGTAGCTTTTTTTTTTATTTATTTATACAAGCACTGGGTACAGTCAGAAGCGTGGGAGGGTGAGAGAATTCACCAGAGCCAGAGCAGGGAGCAGAGCAGGCAGAAGGGCCGAAGTACACTGCTAAGGGGAGCAGCGGGCGGCAGGAGAGGTCTGCGCGCCATGCGGGACCCTCCTCCGGTGGCTGGGGAGCAGCCGGGGATCAAACCGGCACTGCAGAGGCTGCGGGCAGCTTCGCAACCCAGTGCTCAACCGCTGCGCCACCCAGAAGGCCCTTTCCAACTCTAGTCTTAAGTGAAACTGAGCTGTAGTGTTTAAAATGCATTTCTGGCCAAGTCTTGGTATTACTGTTCTGTAGAACTATATGGATCTGCTCTGTGTATGTCTGGACTATGAAATGGGCTCTGTGGATTAGGAATTATGTGGTCAAAATTTTAAAAAGCTAATACATAAAATTGCTCAGATAAATGGTTTTGCTTTTCTATTTTGAAAGATTGCAAACATGCTAAAAGTAGAGAGAACAGACAGTTGCCCAGTACACTTGTCACCTAAATTACCAGTTACTATTTTTACATAATTGTTCCATCAGTGTTGGCTCGCTTGTGTTTTGCTGAGCTCAATCAGTGAATCTCAGGTAGCTTGACATTTCTCTCCAATATACCTTAGTATGAGTCCCTCCAAATAACGGGGCATTTACCTACATAGCCACAGCACCATGAACACCACTAATAAGAATTGAAGTATTTCTTCAATATCACCTAAGTTTTGCTTCATATTCAAACTTAATCAGTTACCATCCAGATTTCTTTCTTATAGTTTGGTTTGTCCAAATCACAAGTCACATAAGGCATTTCACTTGATTTTTTAAAGTATCTTTAGCCTCTTTTAAACTAGAACAGCTTCTTTACCTTCCCTTCCCTGTTTTTTATTTTTTATGCTATTGATGTGTTGAAGAAGTGAGGCTATTTGTCCCGTAGGATATTCCACACTGGATTTGACTGATTACTTCCTCATGGTATCATTTAACTCCTCTTTCTCTTCCTTGTGTTGCTTGGACTCAGATAATTGAACATTAGATAAGATTGTTTCAGCATTTTGGCCACACATAGTGCCATGTGCTTCCTGTTTCACCTCATCAGAGGTCATTAGTGTCTGTTGTTTCTCCTTTACAGACACTGTGATGGAACAGTGTGTTCAGGTGGGGTGCTGTCTGGCAATTGCACATGCACACATGTACACACACACGTACATAGACACATCTGCACAACATATTTTGGAAATTTCCACTTTCTGGGTTTTGTTTTGTTTTGGTTTTCCCCTGAATTTCTCATGTGTTTTAGCATAGCATTATAATTTTTAAACCATTTCAAATTGATGTTATAGGCCCTTTTCATTATTAGTGTAGTTTCCTTTCACATTCTACTTGACTTATTTATAGATTTTTTTTAGTGATACCTTTTACCTGCTTTTAAAATTTGAAATTTTAATTTTTTCCCTTGATCAGTTTGTAATGAATTTTTATTTTTTAAATGTGGTTTCTGGTCTTACAGTAGTATAAAAAGAAAATGTGTTTCTTAGTATATGTCCATTTTCTGTAACTGTCCCAAAAATTAAAAAAAGAGAGAGGGCATTATTCTCTCTAGGCCACACTTTCTGATTAATGATCAGTGTGAATAACTCATCAATGAATGATTATCAATGTCTAATTAGTTAAATCCAGGTTATTTATAATAAACATCCGACAAATCACTTTCTTTAATTTTGATTCTGTTGGTTGTTCTTTGAGTGTTAAACATGCTTATTTTGTAACTTGGGTAACTTGGATTCTTTGGATATTAATATGAGAATACAATACAGTCTTATTCCACTTAACAACAAGGATATGTGCTGAGAAATGCATTGTTAGGTAATTTTGCTATTGTGTGAATGTCATAAAGTATAATTACACAAATCTAGACAGCACAACCTATTACCTTGGCTGTGTGGTGCAGTGTTGAGACAACCCTTGTAAATGTAGTCTTAACATCATTAAGGGCTACATGATAATTATTGGCAATTCCCAATGCCACCCTCATTTTTAATAATTTTCTAAAAGGACTCATAGAACTTACAAAAAGCTGTGATACTCACGGTTGTGGTTTATTGCAGTGGAAAGATAAAATTAAAATTAGCCAAAGGAAAAGATGCCTGAGGCCAGATCCAGGAAAGTTCCACCTGGGAGCTTCCAGTGGTGTCATGGACAGCACAGATTTTCCTGGTTACCATGTGAGATTGTGTGTGCTGAGTATTGCCAACCAAAGGATCTCACCCAAGTTTGGCATAGAGTTTTTATGGGGACTCTATCTACAGAGATAGTTGACTGTCCTTGTAAATGAGCTCCATCTATAGTTTCTCCAGAGGTAGATCTGATGCTGAATGATATAAAACCCTGACTGTAAATTGCTTTGTTAGGCTATATGGTAGAACCCAAGGACCCCACTTAAACAAAGATGCCCATTTTTTAATTGGGGAGGACATTGAAAGAGTTCAGAGATTACCTCCCAAGATTTGAGGACAGGACCTCAGTTTTGGCAAGATTAATTTCTTTTCTATGCAATAATATAAAATTAATATTCCATATCCTTTCCATTGTGTGTGTTTGCTTGATCTATATCCAGCAAATCTTTTGACCTTCAGAACTTTTAATTTTCACATCTCTTGTAAGCAACATATGGTAGGATCCTTTTATTTTTGCATTACTCTGAGTCTTTGCCTTTTACTAGAAATGTTTAAGTCATTTTCATTTAGCATAATTAGAACTTTCTCCTTTATTTTGCTGTTCTGTTATTTTTTGTTTTTCATTTTCCCTTGTGCTACATAGCCCATGCAGTTTGCAGATTTGGGAGAAATGTTTTAAAATTTTGTTATAGATTGTCTTTTGACTCTTGTGTATGATTACAGTTTAGTACATTTTATTTCTTAGGCTTTTTCCATTTTTCTGATCTTAATTTATTATGAAGTTATTGACCCCCAACTTCATATTTTATCTTTTATTTTCCAGGTGACTATAGCATTTCTAGATTTATTTTTGCCTCTTGGTTTAACTATAACATATTGATCATATTTAATTGAAATGTAGTATACAGACATGTAAATTTAAATGGCTTTAATGTTTACTGCCAGTCATTTTGCATGTTCGCTCCCTTATCTTTGGGTTTCTTGTTTGAATTCTGCAATAAAGCCTTTAAATTCTTGCATGTCTGGAAACAACTCTTGCTTTCTTTTGTGCTTATTTTCAGAAAACAATCTAGTGCCTTAGTTTTGCAGAGAAGAATCCTCAGCCAGTGTCATTCTTTATAATGTACAGATGATTTGTTTTTGTACATACTTAAAAGATAGATTTGTTTAGCCTTGAATTAAATAAAAAACTACAACACAGCATTTCAAGATAATTTGGAATTTGGACTTGTTTTTATTCATTTTGCCTAACACTTGACAAGTTTTTAGACTCTGTAGATGCATAGCTTCAGTTTTCAACTGAAAGGTGAAGGTCACGATGGTCTCTCTCAGAATGGCCTTGTGTAGATTGTTACTCCTTCCCTTCTGCTGCTGGGTACGGGCCCCAGGGCCCTTTCTGCTTTTTTAGTGAACTACTAAGGCGTCTAGCAGAGTATATCTCAGCGAGTTAGTTTCCTTCTGTTTCTTAGCCGTGCTGAATGTTAGAAATGTGGTCTCTAGACAGTTATTTAAGGAGAGGTGTTGGAGGTGAGAAAAGTGGAGGAGCAGGACTATAGTCCTGAAGATAGTCATGAAAATATTGGAAAGTATTTCCACTCAACGCTATCCCCTGTGTCACGGTGTTGAGCTGGATAGAGATGCCTTTCCTGGCTCCTTTCGGTGTCATTAGTGTTCTCTGTGCTTACATGGACTGGTTGACATGCAGCCCAAGCTGCACTTCTCCCTGTCTCTCTCAGTCAGGCACACATTGGTCGCTTTTACCCTCTCGTGTGGCCTTTATTTTTCTGTAAGTTTCTGTGCTTCTGCCAATTTTGTTTGTTCCAGTGTGTACCCATTTTAGTTACTCATGTGTTTATTAACCTATTGAAATACATTTTTAGAATTTCAATTTCAGGGTTACATTTTTACTCCTCTATGTGTACCCTTGAGTATTTTAGTTAGAACTCCACAAGACAAGAAGTCTGTCCAGCCTGGCTGATCTGCTGGTGTCAACCTCAGCGTGTTTATTAGAGTTTTTTCCTCTACCACATCCTGCAAAAACATCCCCAGCCTTGCACTTCACTTCCCTATGGCCAACACTCTCCCATTCTGCCACCCCTGCAGTCTTACTGAGCTGTAGTTTCTTCCTGGCTCCTGCTCACCTAGTCCTCCCGGGTCGCGGCCGTGTCTGTGGAGCTTCACATCTAAAAGGCTTTCTTCACTTCCTCAGTGTCATCTGCTCATCACCGTTGTCTGGTGACCCTTTTCCTGACTCCTTGAGCTAGTCACCTGCTACAGTCACTTGTTTTTTAGTGGCAAGTACAAAAGGACCCCATGCTCCTTTTGGCATCACTGGGCTAGATCTGCAGGCTTCACTATTCTTTACAGTGCACTAGAGTCAGGAATAGACAGTGCATTGGAGTGTTAGATGCGTGTTGCTCAGTCCTCAGTCGGTGCTCCTTTCACGTGACTTTACTGGCTGCTGCTTCAGGTGTGTGAGCCCTCACTCACACACCTGATGTTCTGGCATCTTCTGTTTGTGGTATACCTTGGTGTATGAAGATAATCTAGGCAATCCTGGTGACCTTGGACTTTTCACCTGAGTGTGAATCCATTCAAACTGTTGGTTTCCTATATAATTGTAGTAATTATTTTATTACTGTGTTTTTTAAAAAATAACTGAGGGAAAAAATGATTCACATAATTTACAGAGTTATCTAGCTGTTTTGGTAAAGGTTTGGTAGAATGAGAAGTAGAAACTAAATGTTGAAGAGCTCTTCAGAAATTTAAACCATGAGCACATCTCACCCTGGTCCTACTCTAGGAAGTAGGCCCCGGCCTGGCTTTGCACAGGTCAGCGGCCAGCATGGCTCTGCTTTTCGAGGGCTGTGTTAAAAAAAAAAAAAGGGAGAGCAAGAGAGAAAGAAGAAGAAGATGTGATGGAGAACCTCTGGCCCTTAGCAGGTCTGCTGTTTGGTTCTTTGTGGAAATAGTTTGCCAATCTCTGAGCTCACTGGGCAGCCTGCCTCAGGCAGTCCTGCTTCACGCTGAATCCTCACAGGCACTGCCCATCCACGCACCCCTCTCTGCCTCATTTCATAACTGCATGGTGTAAATTCATGGACAGATAGTCTACAACACAAAATCAAAATCTGCAAATTTGAAACCTACATTTTACAAGAAAGCTCGATAAAACAATGCAATTATTTCCATGACTCTGGGCAGTCTTTCTCTCTCTCTCTCTCTCTCTTTTGGCTTTGAATGGAACTTTTATACATAGTGTTTTCACATCCCAAATATAAGTTTATGGGGTTCAACTGCTTCACATATTCAGGTTTTAATAGATTAGAAACAATAACAAACCTGTGATCATGTACCAAGTTGCTTATTGAGTTATACGATTTAAAAATGTTTTCAGAGAAAATAAAAGGTCAAGTGAACCAGACATTGGGTTATTTGGTTTAATTTTCTGGAAAATAGGATTGCCTTTATCAGATCTCAGTGTCTCTCGGTCCTCATGCTTGGCTGACAGCTTGACAGTGGCTCTGCTGTGGTGGAGATGGGCGGCAGGAAGCTGCTTTGTCAGCAGAAAAGGGCTGTAAACTGAGCTGGGGGGGAACAGGGCTCACCTCCTCTTGACCTGCTGATCAGTGCTGGCTTTCTCAGCTACAGAAAGTTAGGCTACAGAAAGTAGCATCTGAGGCAGGGCCACTATGGGATGTAAAGTTTTTTTGTAGACCAGATGCAGTGCCCGCTTAATAAAAGGCATCATGGGCTTTTATTTTCTGCAACTAGGAGCGTCAGAAATTCACAGAAGTGTTTAAATAATTAGTGTGAGCAGATCTGCTTGTATAGAACATGGAAAGCTTTTTTGTTTTTCTTTTTTTAAATATTTGAGTGTTTTTTATTATTTTATATATTTTACATCATTTTAAATTTTTGTACAATATGCATTTTCATCTTGATTATAGTTACTTATAGCAGGAATGTAAAGGATCCAAATAGGGGAGGGATCGGGGGAAAAACTTATTATAATAAAGTAAAAATCAAAATCAACAGGCAGCTATAAAACAGACAACAGAGACATACTGCTGGGGTGGGGGAGAAGGGAGTCAGATAAATATTTGGGTGTTTTTATCTATTTTCCTTAAAGACAGGGAAGTTCTTTTCCATTTAACTTAAGTTCAAGTTACATTTTGACTTTGATTTTATGTCACCATAAGCACATCATCCAAATTTGAAACCTTCAAGAAATAACTTTCTTTTTATTCCTGAATCAACCGAGACAGAAATACAGTGGCTGATTTGTATTCCGAAATGTGCTTTTTTTCTCTTAATGTTTCTTCAAAAGAGAAGCAGTCCATTTGTCTTTAAGAATTTCAAACAAAATTTGAATTTGCTTTACCAAAAAAAAAAAAAAAAAGCATAATGAAAGGACAAGATCAGGATTAGAAAATAATTAAAAGAAACAGAAATAGATGCTGTCAGACGTGGAGAGAGAAAATGTTCATAATGCCTTGGAGAAATAAATTTGACCCAGACTTTCTAACCAACGAGTCAAAGGGAGCAGATTGAATTGAAGTCAATTAAAGAAATGCACATCTTTTTCTTTTTTTATCTTAGATAGACTCTTCCCCCTCCCCTGCCTCAATAAATTTGTCACCATGACTGTCATATTGAGACAGAGCTAATAAGTTCCTTTTAACAAATAGTGACTATTTGAATACTAGGGAATCTTAAGAGTAATGTTAATCCAGTGTACTGGCTCTGAAACCTGTGGAGTTACTTATCCTGTATTCCTTGGAATTTTCCAGAGCAAGCAATTTGAAAGAGAGGAATCCTGGGTGTTTGAGCATATGCTATTTTGGAGAGAGAAGAAGGTCTCTTGTATTTGCACCAAAATGCAATTCCCAACTGATAAAAGTCAACGATTTACACTTTACAGATGTGACCACAGAGGCTTAGAGTCTTGCTTACACGGCTTGCCCAGGCAGTAAGGACAGTCTCGAGTAAAGTGTTTTATTCCAGTATCAGAGCTCAGATTTGGGGTTTGGCTGTGTGGCTGTGGTTTGATTTTACTGAGCCACAGTTTTCCAAGTGTGAAATAGAAATGCTACTGGAACATACATCTGCAGCTCTTACAAGATGAGTACTACGTCTTAAAAATGTATGTTTAACTGTGATTATGGCCTCATTCATATTTCCCTAGCTGATTTTATTTTTCTTACTATATTGCAATTTTGAAAATTTGAAATTATATTGGGTCATTTTGTCTTCAAAATTTCCTTAGAACTTCATCTTAGTAAGCCTGATTTGTTTTGCATAAAACCTCTCTTCTTCAGTAGGTGATTTCTTAATCAGTTCCATCAGAACCAGGCAGACATAAACCACTGATAGCAAAAAATGTAATGTGTTACATCCACAGCAGACATAGTAGTAGATGTTACTAGATATTTCTTGGAAACCTTCAAGGATATAACTATAGAATGAACAGAACATGAATACTACGTATTTGCCATTTCACGTCCCAAGGCTGAAATGAAATATTTTGGTTGGTGGACTTCAAATAGTACTATCTGTTTGGTGAAGTTAGAAGTAAGAATGACTTTCATTTGGTCAGATAGCAAAGATATTAGTTACTTGTGTGTCACTTTTCTGTTTTAATTCAACTGGTTTTACTACTCGACCTCAACAACGAGCTGATCGTGCATGTGTGTGTCTTGTGCTGTTTTAATAGCATTAAGCTACGAATGAGTTGGACAGGTGTCCTTTAGTTACTTTGCAGAGTTTGTGCAGTTTCTGCATGTTTGTGCTTCTTTCCAGCAGTGAAAATAATACAACCATTAAAAAAAAAAACAAAAACAGTTGTTTAAAAATATCACTGTGATGCCTACACTTTAACAAGATTTTTTTTTTTCTAGCCATCCATCAAAAACTAGAAGCGGATGGCACGGAAAAAGTGGAAGGATCCATGACGCAAAAACTGGAGAATGTTCTGAACAGTAAGTTTTGTCCTACCACCCTAAACTATTTATGGATTTTATAACAAGCTTGAGTATAGTTCTTGGACCTGATTTCACAGAAGAAGGCACTACATGGCATTTTAGTATTTATTTCTTAGTAGTGATGATTTAATGAGCATAAAGTGGTATTAAAAACATTGACAATGAATGTCCTGTTTCTGCTTGCACTTTATTTATGAGAAATCATAATTTGAAAACAGGCCAGATACTCTTCTTAAGAAGTAAGTTTTGCTGCCATAAAAGAGACCACTCTATAAATAGCATCACCCAAGATAGAAAACTGGTGAGAGGCAGAATTTAGGATCAACATTGACCCAAAACCTGAAAAAAATCTACTTGTGTTAATGCAGATGATATCAGCCTGTAGAATGGCAGATACTTCGCTGTCATTTATTTTATACCTTGCCTTTTTCCCCAAAGAATTTAAGGCAGCTGCATATTTAAGAGTGTCTCTAATTCTGAGAGAGTTTGCAAAATTGTGGGCCAAGAGAAATGGATGTATGCAGAGCTTTGGACCCACCCACCTCTCTTGTATGTTTGTTCCTATCCCCCAGCTACTTATCCCACTGATTTGGAGGAAACTCTTCAAATGAATCAATCCCTATTAAATTATTAGTGGCTCAGAAATAAGTCATTGTCATTCACACTTATGATGAACATTTGACATGGAGCGACAAGGCCTGGGGGAATCGTGTTGTTTTGAAATAGCAGGATAGCATGCAATTTCCCCATGAACTGGGGTGAAGAATAAAACATTTTGGAGTCCCCATGTCAGAGCTCCAGCCTGAGTCCTGCTCTTCCCCGTTCACTTAGTCCCATGAACAGAACTTCTTGGACCTTTTTCTATCTGTCCTTCTACCTGGGGATTTATGATAAGAGCGTATCTTCTAGAAGAAGCTGTAATTTGTTAACAGGTTTCCTCATTGGCAGAATTTGGGATTTAATCTAAAGAGTTTAACAGAACTGTAGATATTTTTCCCTCTGGTTATTATTATCTGTAGTGTTGTCCTTTTGCCATGTTGTTCTTTTGTCTGAGAACCCAGTGACCAGTTTTGTTGATGTGAATGTCTTCTGAATTCTACCCAAATAAACGTCTGCTAAAGCTCTGTGTAGTAAACACTGTGGGTCTCCGGAAGATGGTCCCAGCTCAAGGGTACTGTTTTCACTGAAGAAGTTGTCATCTGAGCATGATCTCTGTTAAAAACGGAGGTGATTTCAGTTAGTTTTTAGAAGGTGACTTGTAAAAAGGAACGGACACTGTAAGCATATCATTGGATCAGTGAAAGAAAATAGATTCTTGTTAAAGTTGGGGAAAATTAGTATCGGTTTCACGTGTTAGGCTTTGCAGAGTATGTTAACACAGTTTTTTTCTTTAAGGAGTAGTGAGAAAATCCACCTTTGGGAATTGTGGTATAAAAATTGTAAGGGAAATTATTTTACTTCTGTTCCTTTATAACCACAAACTTTTTCTAGAAATGTGTCACATCCAGTTTCTACTGGTTTGCTCTTTTTTGGATCAAGCTGGGCTTAGTATAAATGGCTACTTCTTTATGAGATTCTTCTTCAGGAGTTTCTGGTAAAAAAATTTCCCTTTAAGTATGTTCCTTTAGAATAACCCCTTATTTCTAGAAACTTTTTCTTAATCAATTTGATGTGGATGTTTGCTTAGACTTAGCATAAGGTTTTACTAATTCAGGGCAGCATGACCAACATTTGCTTGATGCTGGTTGGGTACAGACACTGTGTTTGGCCCAGTGTATGTGTGTGTTGGGGGGGGGGTGGCAGAGTCCTGTGCCCCAATGGCTATGTCCTGCTTGCCTGAGACTTCAGAAACTGTAAGACTTGGGAATCAGAAAAAAATTAAAGAAGTATCATGGAAAATTTAGCTTATTTTCTTTTGGAAAGGAAAGAAGTAGATTTGAGTATGAATTTAGGTTAGTTTACTTAGAATGGAAAAAGTAGCAACAGTAACTGCTTTTTATATATGGTTGTTGCTGATCTTGAACAACACAGTTTAGGGGTACCAACCTCCATGCAGTCAAAACTCCCCATGTAGCTTTTGACTCCCCAAAAACTTACCTGCAAATAGCCTGCTGTCGACTGTAAGCCTGAGAGAAAAGAATAAAGTTCGATTGTAACATATTTTGTATGCTATTTGTATATGTATGTTATATATTCTTAGAATAAAGTCAGCTAGAGGAGAGAGAATGTTATCGAGAAAATTATAATGAAGAGAAAATAGAGTTATTTATCTGTAGTGCTTATTGAAAAAAATTGCATCTAAGTTCATCCACACATTTCAAACACATAACCCTTGTTCAAGGACCAGCAGTGCACATGAAGTCGTATGTCCTTTTCCTGAATTATTTAACATGAGAGTTTTAAAAACATGGCAATGCTCCTGACTCAGCCTCCAAAGTGCAATATTGACTATCAGAAACTTGGGCCACATTTTATTCAGAGTTTGCGATGTCAGAGCCTTGCATTAAACTTCTGTTTTGTTTTCACTGGCATGTGATTCTCATATTTACCTTTGCACTTAACAGTCTCCCTCTGATTTCAAGCCAGTGCTGCAGCAGTGCCTGTTCCCGAACATCACTTGCCCAACTCTATGTCCTCCCTGTCCCAGGAGGCAGGCAGCACTGTGGTGCAGGAGAGCATCACTGAGGATGGGGACAGAGCTGCTGGGCACTCAGCCCATGGCCAGTGCCACTGAGAAATTGAGTGCTCATTTTGATTTCAGCTTAATGAATTTCTGTTGAAAAGGAAACTGTCCCACACAGCCTGTAGCTGCTGTGCTGGACAACGGTGTTGCCTCTGTGTTCACGGCAGCAACAGCCATGAGATAGCTAAGGCTTTGCGTGTTCCCTAAGGGTCAGGGGTTGCCCTAAACATTCTCTGTCTATTCATCCCTCACACTTGCCCTCTGGGGTGTGTGCTTATGTCTCCCTCCTATTGATGGAATCCCAGAAAGGTCGTGTCAGTAGTAAGCGGCAGAGCTGGGATTATTAGCTAGAAATCTGCCTCCAAGTGTGTGGCTTAAACCAGGACAGACCTGGCTGTGCCTGGTCTTGATAGGCATGTGTTCAGTTGCCACAGGTCAGTGAGACACCTCATATCCCCCCCACCATGGTTCAGACCCACTGATTGCATCTGTAAATGACAGATGGCCCAGATGGTCAGTGACTTGCCACTGCCCCTATATGGCTGTTGTCGGTTCACACAGGCAGCAAAGTGTAGGGTGGCGCTGCCCCTTTGTCCCCCAGTGAGGCACCCACATTGTATTCTGCAAAGATGGGAGAGGGGATCAGCTTCTGAAGATGAAAGCACAGCAAATTGCACGTGGTGCTCGCAGTATAAGTTGAACAGTGGAGTTCAGTTGTGATGGGACTGAGTTTTAAGAAGAGTAGCTGACTGGACATGTGGGCACAGCCACAGTTCCAGACGTCTCAATATGTCTGGCCAGAGACTTGGTGATAGTGGACTTCGGGATGGCACTGAGGAATGTGTGCAGAGAAGATGCTTATGGGAGCCCTGGGATATAAGCCGTGGACCTCAAAGTTGGATGAATGCCCTTAGAAAGGAGCATGATGGGCCTCTCTGGTGGCCTTGCACTTAAGTCTCAGCGCAATCGCTGCTAAGACCTGAGTTCGATCCCCGGCCAGGGAGCTGACCCACATGGCGCAGCAGACCTCCCCTGTCTCAACTGCTGCTCCCCTCAGCAGTGTATTTCAATGGATCCACCTGTTCTGCTCCCTACTCCGTTTCTGATGAATCTTCTCACTTCCCTCCCCCATCTCGTAGGCCTATGCCCTAGTTCTTCTACACACACAAATAAAGCATGGTAATCTGTCACTCACAGAACAGACGCCCCCTACAGAAATGTGAGTGATAAAAGGAGGCAAACAGTCTTGATGATTTTAAGAAAAAGAATTTTCAATGTTTCTAACATTTTAAATTACAGTGCACTAACCTTACTATTTTTTTCATTTCTTATTGGTGACCACAGTGAACTTTAATGTTCCGACAAAAGTGTCTAAAAGTCACAGCATGACAGTAATTTTCCCTGTGTGGTTAAGATCACTTGCTGGGGTCCAGCTTGCATGGCCATTTCTTGGTGTGGGCACCCACTCATTGCCTTTCTAAGTAAAAAGGGTTTGGAGGCTGGTTTTTAATGAGCATTTATTGAGCACGTGTTTGTTCTATCCCAGGTTGGGGAGACAAAACTTTCTCTTTGCTTCTAGGAGTGTGTAAACTAATGAAACATGCTGGCTCCCAGGCCAGCAGAGGTGGGCTGATGGGCAGTGGGTCCACGGTGTCCCAGCAGGAAGCTGGCTGCAGGCAGGGAAGCAGGAGCCAGTTTAGCTGCATGTGAGGGGGGCCTGTAGACAGGGTGGGCTTGTGATGGGCTCTCTGTGGCCTCGTGGCTGTCATCTTTATCCTGAAGGTGACTGCAGAGCCACTGAAGGAGGTTACTAAGGGATGTGATGCTGCAAATTTTTCACAGAATGTTCAAGTGTCCAGTGGTGGAGTGAGAGCAAATCTTTCAAAGCTTTTAGCCAACGCACGGGCAATGGAGGTCAAGGAGAGGTGTGAGCAGGTGCAAAGGGTAGCACAGGGTCACTGGTTTGATGTGGGAAGTAAGAAAAAGGAGTAGTTAGTGTTAGCTTCCAGATTTCTGGCCTCCAGTGGAGGATGACAGAGCAGGTTTGAGGCATGAGAAGAGCAGTAGAGAGGAAAATGTCAGCTGGAAAAGGCCAGACACGTAGTCTGGGATTCCTGAGAGTCAGGGCCCCAGTGTCTTTCCTGCTCTCATGTCTTCCTCACTGTGTCACACTAAGCAAGCTGAGTGACAGCTTGGGGCTTCAGGTGCCTACAGTATCAAAGAGGAATAAAAATCATGCCTGTCTTGTGGGGATAAACAAGATGAAAGGAATTAAGAATTAATACCTGTTTTTAGAATAATCAATAATCTGGGAGAATGAATATAAAGTCTTTAGAATTAGCCCCTAGCATGCAGTAAGTGTTATAGTGGCTGCCATTATTTATGTCATGTGTGACACAAGCCTATAATCCAAATATATGTGAAAATGCTTGCAAAGATTAGCCTTATTATGCTCCAGACCCATCTTGAGATACAGATTCAGGAGTCAGCAGTATAAAGTAGTCATGGAAGCAACAGAATTGAGTGATTTACCCAAGTAATATGTGTAACATTAAAAAAAATAAGAAAGCCAAGGACTTTAAACACTGAGGAATTCCAGTAAGGGTCAAGTTTATAGAAAGGAACTCAGCAGTATGCTGGTAATGAGTGGTATTCAAAAAGAAAGAAGGAAGGAAGGAGTAAAGAAAACTAACTCCAGCATCGACATTGCCAGTATATAAATTCTCCCATCATAGTTGATTTTAAGTTTCCAACTTGACATGACTGATTCTTGCGAGTGGTGTGAGCCAACTTCTGCTCTGCATTCACCCCGAGTGTCCAGTTCTGTGCACTTGGTGTCATTGTGGAGCCCGGTATTGGGTGTGGCACTAACTACACAAGCAATATCATTGATGATATTGTGCGTGCACTGTCCTTCATTATAGATGACAACCTGGTATTTTCTGGAATCTGTTAAGAAACTGAGATAGGTTTAGAAGGTTTCTTTGTGGTCTGATTTTGCTATGAATTTAAGTATAGATTTTAAAGTTACCTTAAATTTCCAGATATTTTAGTGTTTCCTTCCCTACTCTCATTCAACTTGCCTGCTCTTGGGGTAAGCTGTGTTGTAGGGTGTGTATGTCTCTCCTCCCCAACTCATATCAACTGGGGAATATAGGTTAAAAACCACTCCAATCTGCTGTCTCAAGCGTCTGTGCCAGACAAAGGAGCAACAAGGGTGCTTCAAAATACAAGAAAGCACAGTGTTTACTTAAGTAAACTTGCTTGGGATGATAAGATGCCATTAGAATGACATCACTAGCTTTCCTCGATGACAGGCTTTTCTGGCATAATTAAAACATTTCTCTGTCAGTGTTAAGGCCGTCAGCTCAGCAGACAGCTCTGTGCAGAACTCAGCTGGCTTTCTCTCCAGTCACTCCTTTTCTGGCTTTACTGAGATATAATTGATGTGGAACATGGCGTGAATTGAAGGTGTACTGGTATAGATTTGATACATGTCTATATTACCCTGACTGCTCCTTAGTCATATAATTCAATTCTTTTTGTGGGTGGTGATAACTTTTGAGGTCTCTCAACAACTCTCAAGTTTATGATACTGTGTTAACTATCTTCGAGTCACTATGTTAGCTGCCCAGAACCTTAGCATCTTCTAACTGGATGGACATCTCCCCCAGACCTCCATGTCCCACATATAGGTGAGACCAGACAGTCATTTCTCAGACTCTGTCTCACTGACATAGCTCTCATAGCCTAGTGCCCATAGATCCTTCCATGTGGTCTTTTGCTGTCTTGGCCCACCTTCTGGGGGTGGCCAGAGTGTGATCACGGCTGTATGACTGCTGGTGTCTGTGCCTAAGACAATGACAGTCACTGCCCAGTGGCTGAGAAGAAAGCACTGAAGTGGTGAGAAGAAAGCACTGAAGTTTTAGGTCTAGGCTCTGCCCAGGGCTGGTAGATGAAATAACAACACGCAGAGTCCAGAGGTGTGGTTTTCATAACACTTGATGTCTGAGGACATTTGTTCTGTGGTTACATACTATATGTTCAAGCCCTGACCAGCTCCCTTAGAATTGCGTGTTCTGGGTACAAGAAGGTGGAGGACAGGTACGCCACGATCAAGGCTCACAGGGGCAGCTCATGAAGATGTAAGAGATGCCTGACCGAGGGCTTGTTCACAACATGGCTTCATAAGTGGACAGTAATGAAGAGTGCAGAGTGGTAGTTTCGTTTTCTTATTAGTAGCCCTAGAAAATAAAAACATAAAGTGTGTTTTGTGAGCTGCTGGTGATTTTTATCTTTTTGCACGAATCTTAGTTTTACTGCCCTCATTTATAGAACATAATCATTCTGTAAAATTAGTTATGAACTCCTCACATCTTATTGTGAATGCAGTAAAATTCACAACAGAATCATAACTGATAGACAGAAATTATCTGCAAATTGCAATTATTATCTTGTGTCTTATAATTTATCTTTGAATGCACTAAAGAAAATGTTCTTTACATATATACATACATTTCTGTATCAATAAATTGTAATTACAATTTTATAATTTCTGCCTTGGGTTTTTTTTTTTTGTAAAATGTTTCTATTTATAAGTGGATTTCCTACAAGTAAATTATTTTCATACTTTTTAGAGGAGTTAAAATTATTAGTTGGTGGATTTTTTTTTTGTTACCTTTAAGATGAGCAATATCAAATTTTTAACTCTTCGGCTTTTTTACCCCCTAAATTCCTCTATTGTATATTAAAGAAAAAAAATGCCTGGGTATTCAACATCCATAACTCACACATAAACTAATGTACTTTTTAAAAGTACTCAATTTCATTCACCTATCTATTCACTTCTGAAGCCACAATTCCTGAAGTTATATTTTTTAAATGCTAACAAAATATGTAGTAATAATTTCCTTTGAAAGAAAATCCCTAGTCATATTTGAGAGATTCATTTAGCTACCCTTATGCAGGCTGGTGGCAAGAAGGGGATATATTTTTTCTCATCTTTGAGTAGAAACTTAGTATTCTACATCAAACAGCATGTGGTGAAAAAAGCTATCTTGACAAAACAAAGTTTTTATATTAGGTCTTTAAAATTTCAGCAGAATTTAAACATTATTTAGATAAAACAATTATGTTACAAAGACGACTTTTAACACGATCAGGCCACCCACAGTGTGGACTAGGGAATACGGCATGCAAGCCACCCAGTGAGCCTGAGATCATTTTTTCATCTTTGCTTAAAGTGTAGTCACTAGACCAGATAATGTAGAAACTTTTTATGAGCAGCGATCAAACAGTCGAATACAGTTTATCCTTTCTCTCCCCTTTCCTTGTGGCTAATTAAAAATAATTCACAAGTTGAAAAAGTATAGCTATTTTTGTACACAGTAAATTTTATTTTAGATAAAGCACCTCTTTCATTGTAGTGATTCATATGGTTTGAGGATGTTTTAGATAAATATATGTATGTAATGCCCAATTTATGTATAATTTTGTAGGAATTAGCTGATTTAAGAAAGATTTGCTTAATGATATCATTAAAACTTTGTCATTTTAAATTGCTTGTATACTTTTCTGTGTCCGCTACCTAAGGAAATAATTTTACCAAGAAATAGGATTAGTTTTGAAAGATTTCTTTCGAACAGCTTTTCTGAAAAGTGTTTTCCTTGTTTTGTTTATTACCACATTCGTAGATACTCCGGGGAATTCAGTGTATGTGTAGGAATGTGTAAGGGCATTTTAATGCAGTTCGAATGAGTGAAATAACCGAGGGGCCCATAATTGTCACACAATTTAGAGATATAGCTAAAATAGATGTAGGCTCATATCAGACAATTCATTTGGGCTGGGTAAGGTTTTTTTTTAATTGGCTACCGTTCTCAACATATGAAAAAACTTTAGTGGACAAAATAGAAATGTCATTTTAGCAAATCACCAATGACCTGCAGCAAAGCTGACTTGAAATGGCTGCTGTTTTTCAGCAGAGCTCCCAGGGCCATCTGCCACATTTAATTTCTGTTGCTCAGTTACACAGTCAGTTTTTAACCTCAATTTCTTTTTGTCCTTGTCATGTAGGAGCGAGTACTACTGCTGACACATTATTTCAAGAAGTGTTAGGTCGAAAGGACAAGGCAGATGCCACCAGAAACGCCCTCAACGTGCTCCAACGATTTAAGTTTCTCTTCAACCTCCCTCTAAATATTGAAAGGAATATTCAGAAGGTAAATGCACGTCTCTGTGGCTTGGCTGTGTGAGCGGCGCCGTTGATCTTAAAGAGTTAAGAGGTTTTCGACCTTAACACAGTGTCTTCTTTACACTTTACTGACAGTTTCCAAACTGTTTCTTTTCTTTTTTGAAGGGTGATTATGACGTGGTTATTAATGATTACGAAAAGGCCAAATCTCTCTTTGGAAAAACGGAGGTTCAGGTTTTCAAGAAATGTAAGCTTTGTTTATTACTTTTACATCTTGTACTCTCCTTTTATAGGGAGAATGTGGAACGCATTCTGTGAAGAATGATTCATGTGTTTTAGTTTTTGTTTATGTGGTGCTCTTTTAAAAATGTAAAAAAAAAAAATAGCAGTGATTTCAAAAATAACATCATTGCTTTTCTTACTGAGATTTAGTGAAACAAGCAGCCATGACAATGGCTAGGTTAGTCTCAGACATTCTTCGCTGCCTGTTAACCGTGGGCTATTAAGAAATATTTTGTACTGAAAAGAATCAACTTTAGATATTTTCTAGAAATGGAAACCTACATTTTAACCTCTCCTCTTCAGAAAGATCAACACATTTATGAATTCTAACATAAACTGCACAAATTTGAAATTATGTTGAATGCCCAGAATCACAGAAAGTGAAAAACTTAAAATGACTTTGATAATGCCTTGTCAACTGGGGGAAATGTCAGGAGCCTTTACTAAATTCACACATGAAATACCTAAGGACTCAGAAAATTTCATTTTTTTTTTATGGTAAATTTTCATGCAACAAAATGCACAGACCTTACACATCACAGGTCAGCAAGTTTGACAGACGCACACACCATGTACCCCACACCTCGACGGAATGTTTTCATCGTTCCAGAAAGTTCCCTTGTGCCTCTTCTCAGTCAGCCTAGATGCCCCCAAGGCAGTCCTATTCTTCTTTCCATGATTTTCACTGCAAATCTCCCTTTTGTAAATCTCACGTCTTCTGTGTGGTTTCCTCTTTTAACAGATTATGCTGAGGTCGAGACACGGATTGAAGCTTTAAGAAAATTACTTCTGGATAAATTGCTTGAGACACCATCAACCTTACATGACCAAAAACGTTACATAAGGTAAATCTGTGAGAATTTTAACAAATAGTGCATGTGTGTGGTACTGGACTCATCATCTAACTCTTAAAGCTAATTTGGGGGAAAGTAAGGAGGCTGATGAAATGGTGAAAGGGAAGACAAGGAGCAGAAATGTAGGCACATTTGGCGGAGGGCATTGGACTCCTCTGGTCTCATAATAAATATGGGCACATGTGCTCTGTGAGGGAACAGCATGTTGCCATGAGGGAACAGCATGCTGCCTGCTGGGGGAGGACACATATCCTCATTGCTTAGTCAGCTCTTCACCCTGCTCAACAACAGCCTCCCCAACCAGTGGTGTGTGGGGGTGCTGCACCCTGTGGGCTGTCTGGTGGGCCATCACTGATGGGGACTAGCTGCTGACCCTGGATGACCTCGTTGGTTCTTTTCTTTAGTTTTTCCATTGATAAAATGGACAGGATATCACAATCTACACCCCAGGTAGTTACAAAGATAATCAAAAATACACTTAAGTATTTAACATAGTACCTGGCACCTGGCGATTGATGACTGACAGATAGATAGATAGATAGATAGATAGATAGATAGATAGATAGATAGATAGATATAGAGTTTATGACAGAATTTGGAGATAGTTAAAGCATATAAATTAGATACTTTTTTATTTATGATTTAAAAATACTTTGTTTTTTTCTGCCATACTTCTCAGAATCAGCTGTTCTTTCCCAAACTTAATGCCCTCCCTTTTTAATTAGTGACATCTATTGACTATCCATTCACTGTAAAATAATCATAAGCTATCTATGCTTATGCATTGGACTTGGTTATTTTCAGGTGACCACTGAAAATAGTTGGCAGGCCCAGGGAAGGTCCAGCCTGAAAACTGCAGTGTTGGTGGGGATAAGGGTCTGCACCCAGAACCAGGACCCTGGCAATGTGGTGGGGGGATGGCAGGAACTTGAGCTCGAGTCAATGTCAGCATGTTTGTTCATTCGGGGCAGTGGCAGTGGAGTGGAAAGCACTAGAATCCCTGCTGCCGCTTCCGGGCTCTGCAGGGACACAGACACAGATTCCAGCGATGTGGTGTCTGTCACTCTAGTTCTGCAGTGTGAGAGCGTTTGCCTTGGGCCTGCTTTACAGGTAGAGGCCCCTGAGCTCAGCCACCCAGACAGTAGACCCACAGCTCTCTGTCTGGCTCAAGCCTGCCTTCGCTTCTCTAAGTTGCTTCTGTAGGAAAAAAAAAAAAAAAAAAAAAAAAAAAAATATATATATATATATATATATATATATATATATATTGCAGGGATTTTTCTGGCCTGTAGAATCATAGAAATTTACAACTAGAAATAAAATACATGTGAATTACCCAACTGCTTTATCTTAAAAAACATAAAGACACAGAGTCCCAGGAAGGTTAGTGGTTACGTCCAGGATACTCCGTGGGCAGTGTCTTCTTGTCTTGAGTTCCTCTGTCTTCACTCACCATGCTTTGTATGTATTTACTGTTCCATTCTATGATATTTGCTTATCATGACCTGTTAAACCTTATCGAATGTATGATTTGTTTATTAAATGAATTACCATTTATAGAGCTGACTCACATGCACTTCTTTTGAGTTGTTAACTTACCAGACGTCATTTAAGAGATGGTAGGCATCAGAAAAAAGATTGTATTAAATGGCCTGTTTATAAATGCTTTTCTCTTGATATTTCAAAGGGAAGAGAAGAAGAATGTCAACAAGAATGCCGAATAGTTTACTTAAATTTTAGTTGTTTTATGTGTTATCCTTTTAAAATTATGTTTAATCATTAATAAATAGGAAAAATCACATCATAACCAGGCCATCTACCTGCTGGACTTTGAAATCTCTCATGAAAGGTACTGTGAGGACCATGTGGGGCAGAGCCAGCTTTGTCACCAACAAAAAATCACCTGTATTAGCTTGATACACTTGAATCAGTTCTCCTACAAAATCAAAGTTATGCCTAGTTTTATTCACTATTTTATCTGATTAAAAATGTTCTGATTCTGTTCACTCTACTCCTGTCTTAATGCTAGGAACTTTAGCAAGAGCAAAGTTCCATTTGCTTCTTCGATGTCAGTGTAATCCTACCCCTGGTAATTGTTAAAATGCAGTCAGAATATGGTTAAAAACTTTAATTCTTAAATTAGAAAAATGTTGAACTCATCATAATTAACATTCTTTACCTTTTCCCTATTTCAAAAAGGCCTTTTCAGAAAGTGTTCTTCGATATGCAGTTTTAAAAGAAATAGCAATACCATGTATCATATTCTAAACAAAGATCTTTGAAATGAAACTACTTATTTTAAAGCTCGGTACCAAAAGAAACGAAGAAACTTATTTGATTAAGTCAGTTAACCAAGGAAAAGCCTAGCACAGGTTGTACTCTTGAACTGAAATGCTCTAGGATTTCTGAGAGAGCAATTTATCCTCCTTTACAAAACCCTTTTAATGTGATACTTGTTAATAAGATGATAGAAGGAGCATTACTATTAGATTTTGCAAGAGCCTAGACAATTTACAAATGTAAACATTACCAAAAAAAGAAGTTTATTGATTTCTCTTGCCATATTGTCCAAACAAGAATCCTTGTGCTAGGCCCTCTGTGTGGCTGGACACTACTTTATAAATGAAAAGAAAGCCGTTTTCCTAAAAGAACATGCCTCCACGTTAGCCCTGCTGTCCGGTCTGAGGACATCACCAGCATAGGGGCAGAAGAATGGGCCTGAACACACCTGCCCTGGGACGAAGCTGAGACAGATCATCCCCAGTAGGAAAGGACAGAATCGTGCGTGGGGGAGAGAATTGACCCAGTTATATATTTGTCATATTTATATTCTGGACAGTAAAAAAGGAAAACATGGTATAAGAGGAAGAATCAGATTGGGTTCTGAAAACTCTGAAATGAACCACCTATGCAAATTCATTGCAATTTGTTAAATTCACATTTTCTTCCCAGCATGCTGGTAATTGATTTATTGCATTTGAAAGCCTCTTTGCATCCTGTAAATAAACAGTGGGGGTTGAAGGGGGACATGTGGTGTCTTGGGCAGCCCTATGCAGGGCTGGCCACCCGATTAGGGGCCTGTTTTGCAGGATCACCTGATGCTCAGCTGCTCAGAAGCCGGTTGTCTCCACTAACCCGCGCAGGCCAGAATCAGGGCGGGTAGTTCTCAATGTGATGTCAGATTTCTTCTCAGTGTTTTATACTCCGCTAACTTGCTGCAAAATGCACTTGTGTCCCCTGTAATTAGGTGCTAATTGAGAGATCTATGAGTAAGGGAGTCTGATTGGAGAAATATGAGAGAGGTGTGATTACAGTTTGGCCACAAGTTACAGCTCGTAACCATTCATTAAAATTTATCATTGAACAAAAATCTTCAAACCACACGGCTTGTGGTTTAAGAATATTTTAAGACACCAGCTTTTGGGAGTTGGTTTATTGGATTTAACTTGTCAGACTTACCTATTTCATGAGAGCCAAGGGCCAAATCTTGAATGATATTTGGCAGAAAATTTTCAATCAAAATCTATTTCAATTGTCTATTGGCGTTTGGATATTTTATGTATAAAAAAGACTTTAACTATTTCAAGAAACTATTTGAAACTAAGAAAACTGCCCTATACCACATTTCTAGGCAGACATTGTCCTGTGAATTAGAGTTTAGACTCAGAGCTACGTGCATGTCTCCTAATCTCTTCATGGACTAAGAGACAACCTGAGTTCCTGCCCGCACCCCCCCCACCCACTCTGTTTTTGACTGTCTAGGAAACAGTGTCACACTGCCACCTAGTGACAGCATTTCAGCCCAGAAGGGAATTCAAGGAACAAAACCTGAAATTTTAAAAACGTTTGCCAGGGGTCTAACGCTGGCTCCACCTGTGTTTTCTGCCATGGCCAAGAACGAAGCAGAAACACTCTCTGAGCCAAACGTAAAGGTAAAGATGAGTTCTCACGTGCCTTTTTTTAGAAATGTCTTCACATGTGCTTCTTTACATGAGTAAACATGCTTCTATCTTTATAGGACTGTCCTGACATAGAGAAGCTCTGTCTTATCCTGATAAGTATATAGGATCACACAAGTTGTTTTTGTCCTTTTATACAGTCTAAGAGTTTTTTTTGAAACATTTTTTTTTAAGATTTATTTATTTATTTATACAAGCACTGGGTACAGTCAGAAGCGCGGGAGGGTGAGAGAATTCACCAGAGCCAGAGTGGAGAGCAGAACAGGCAGACTGAAGAAGTACACTGCTGAGGGGAGCAGTGGGCGACAGGAGAGGTCTGCGCACCACGTGGGACCCTGACCTGGTGACCCGGGATCCAACCGGCACTGCAGAGGCTATGGGCAGCTTTGCATCTCAGCGCTCAACTGCTGCGCCACCGGGGAGGTCCCTAAAGTCTAAGATTTTTAATTGTCCTTGTGAAATACATGAAAAGGAATGTGAACTAATTTCACGTAGAACAAAGTATTGAAGGCTGATGAGTGCTTTATTAATTGAATTTAAGTTTAATTTTTTTTTAAAAAAAGTAGCTTGTCCTGTGGGTGCAGAGAGGAAGCCCCTTGCTCAGTGCTGGCCTTGCTCTTCCAGGTACCTGTCGGACCTCCACGCCCCAGGTGACCCCGCATGGCAGTGCATAGGTGCCCAGCACAAGTGGATCCTGCAGCTGATGCACAGCTGCAAGGAGGGCTGTGTCCAAGACCTCAAAGGTAAGTGTTTCCACTTCCGCCCCTTCTTCTGGAGCATGAGTGGGGGCACCCACTAGTTAAGGAAGCTGGCTTCACTTTCTTCACTTTCTTGCTATCAGTGCCTGTTTCCTTGCCTCCCCTCCCCCCTCAAGCTCCCTCCCCTCCCCGCCCCACACCACCATGATACCTGGGTGAGGAGCAGAGCTGGGAGGGGAGCAAGCTCCCCATGTGTCCACTTCCATGGGGACTGGCAGCACTGATGAAGGTTTGGTTTAGTAAGCAGGTGTGAGAGGCCACACACTGTCACAAGAAAACTGTCCTTGGAAAACAGCATCAGTACACTCGTGGTTCCCTCTAGTGCATGCGGAGCTCATGGTGTGCCCGGTGTGATGCCAAGTGAGTGAGCAGACCCCCACCCCCATCCTCGTGGATTAGACAGTGGACAGTGACAAGAGATACACAGGCCTCTCAGCCGTGGGGACAAGTGCTGGGAAATTAGTGGCTCAGAGATTTCCTCATTGCCTGGTGATATCACAGAGTTGGCCTTCCAGGCCTAAATGGTGTGGCCTGCTGCACACCGGCTCCATGATACAGCTACCTGAGCCCCCATTTTACATGTGTCCCTTGTTGACTAAAAGTTCAGTTGACACCTGGCTGTAAGGAAGAATGAAGTTAGGAGGATGCTTAAATGGTTGGGCTGAAAGGCATCGCAGAGAAGGCTCTGTCGCTTGAACCTGGAAGGATGTGAAGTAAGCTGAGGGCAACTCCAGCCTGAGAGAAGGAGCAGCTGTTGCAAAGGCTCTGAGGCAGGTGTGAAGGAAGAAGCCACAGCTGCATTCACATGTAGGAGATCAGCTTTTCTTTGTGTAATTCAGTCCTCCCACCAGTGGCCCAAGGTGGTGGGGATGGAGGAGATGAGAGCTATTCAGAAACTGCAGTTGACAGGACTACTGAAGAATGAGGAGAGAGGGAGCAATGGTGGGTGATTCCCAGCCGTTGTGCATGGGCACAGTCGAGTTAAGGTGTGTAGACAGGAAAGTGATATTAACCCCTTTGGTTGAGACAGGTTGGCCTTGGAGTTGTATGCCTTGCATGTGGAGATATCCATCAGGCTGTTTGGATTTCAAGAGCGAGAGATTTGGATGAGATCTGCTGGGGGCTGGTGTACTTGCCCACAAGATGAGAAAAGGAGGGCCTCCCTGGTGTCACAGAGGGTTAAGACGCAGCCTATGAGTCTATCCGTAGCCACTACAGCACGAGTTCGATCCCCGGCTGGCCAGGGAGCTACCCACATGGCACGGCAGTCCTCTCCTGGCTCTCCCGCTGCTCCCCTCAGCAGTGTATTTCAGTCAGTCTGCCTATTCTGCTCCCTGCTCTGTCTCTGGTGAATCCTCTCACCCTCCTGCGCATCTGGCCTGTACCTCAGTTCTTGTATGCATAAATAAATAAATCTTTAAAAAAAAAAAAAAAGATGGGAAAAGGAGAAAACTCAGGGCAGCACTTTGGGATGTGAGATCAACAGGGCTGGTAGAAGAGAAGCAAAGGAGACAAAGAAGGGGGTGCCGCTGGGACTGGGAGGGAAGGGAGAGGGTGTGACACTAGAGCCTGCAGGGGAGAGGTGTGAGCACAGGGTTTGAAAGTGAAGAATAAGACAGGTTCGTATTGTGAGTAGTGGGGAGTACAGAATTACACCCCAACCTATTTAGCAGGAATTTAAAGACGCTTCCTAAAGGAGGTGATATTTCCATTGAAGCTATAAATGAAGAAAGTCAGTGATTGCTTGCTATTTAAAAAGGCATTGGGAAGAGTGTCCCCGATACCTAGTGGGTGCTCAGTGAACAACTTCCATCCCCCCACTCTAAAGAGGGTGACACTGTCCAAACACAGCAGGATCTCAGAGGTCTGACCAAGGATTTTCCTACCTATGGTCGTAGAAACAACCCAACTGTGTAATTTGGTTAGGAAGAAATTTGAAAGTCTGGGATGGGTGTATAATTTGGAACGACAACATCCACATTATTTGAAATGAGAGAAAGTGCCAGGAAATTTCATATTATCTTATTGTCATGTTCATACCTGAGAGAGCTGAGAAGCAACATCCCACTGTGAGGGGCTGATTCTTCCTTGAGACACACCTTTACCTTGGGGGACCCTCTTCTGCCATCCTTTGCTTTGAGTTGCTCTCCGTGTTCATCCAGAACTGCTCAACATCAGCAGTTCAGAAAAAAATAAATGGCCATAGTTTATATGTAGCTGGAACCCTTTTTATTTACTCTGTCCAAGCTTGTTGTAGAACTTACTTGTTACTGGTGAAATAATAAAAGCACATACGTTAAATGAGACAAGATAACACACCTGAAATGAACCCATTTGTTAGTGATGAACTTTGCTTAAAGGTTTTTGTCAAAAGTTTGTCCTTTCGATTAGGAAGAAAAACAACTTACAGCTCCTTGAACATGCTACTCTACAAATTTTGTGACAACACAGTGTAAATTTCCTCTTAGTCACATATGTATAGGTTCTATTTAGATATAATTTCCCTTTGTCCTTCAGAAGGACATGCTTAACTGTGTCCTCTCCAGTTGTCACAAATACTCCCTATTTAAACAACACTGGTAATCCTAGCATAAAAGAACCTTTTACTGGAAGATTGGTCTCTTTGGAGCTCACCTCAGAAGCAGTTTTTAATTATTTTATTTTGGAGACTTGCAAATGCATTTAAAGGCAGAAAGGGTAATAGAATAATGACATGTCCATGTGCTCACTCTGGTTCCAACTGCCCTTACCTCAAGGGCCTTTGAAATAATCCTTGATTATTTCAGCATACAATTTTCAAAGACAAAGATGCTTTAGAAAATTGTAACGGAAACACCACTGTCATTACCTAAAGATTAGCAATAATTGATATCAAATTTTCAGTTAATTTTCAAATTTAGAGCAACTTTTACCATCTCCAGTATCTAAGTGCACAGGCACTGTGTGTTTTGAAATGACCTCCACATAAAGGCAAATAATAAGAAACATGGCACAAGATAGATGGAATGTGAGTTTCCTGGTGTGGAAGGAGTAGCTGCTAGTAAAGCCAGGTCCTCTTGGACCAGTTGTCAGTAGATCCGATTGTCGCTGTTCATGCACACACATGTCATCAGACACACGTTGGCTCTTTCGTAGACACTCACCTGTATTTACACAGAGGATGTGATTATACTTAGTACGCGGAGACGTCTGTGTGGTCTGTTTATATAAAATATCTGCCTTAATCATAACTGTGCTGGGAGTCAGCAGTTTTTCTTCTATATGACCTACAGCCATTCTTGTGATTGGTATCTGCGATTGCCCTAGGTATATTGTTTGACACACGCATGAGGAGATGGGCAGAGGCGTGCTAAATAAAGGTCATTTGGACTTTGTATGGTATGTGTTCTCCCAAGTGTGGCATTTTAAATCTGGAAGAAATCTGGGGAACTGTCCAGTTCCCTAAGTGACCTCAGGTCCATTTTGCATCTGAGGAGATGCCAAGGACAGCCCAGCTTCCCCGAGTCCTGGGTAGGGGCAGACCCAGTGAGCTGTCTGATTTCTCCCCCTCCCACTGGCCTGCACCGGGCATCCAGGTAGGACTGACGCTTTGCAGCTCCCCTGCGTTCTGTGGTTGATGCAAACTCTCATGAGGCAGTGTTGCTGGACACGATGGACATGAGGACCTCAGCCCCCGTGTCTCATGTGCCTCCTCTTGACAAAGCCTCGCCATCTTTATTCAGGCATCTTCCCCCACCCCCTGAACCTGTTTTCAGAAAGCTTGTTGCTTTCCACATCTAAAGAGCGAGTTGTAAGTTCTTCTAGTCTCTCTGCCCATTGGACTGTTAACACCAGAAAGAGACATGACTATAATCATTTAAAGAAATCCCCGGGCAGAACAATGGTGAAGAATGGAGACAGTCTTGTGAAATAAAATACAATTTAAAATAGTTAGACTGTAAATATTTCAGCCAGGAAAAGGTTTCTTGTTGTCTTTTAAAGTAAAGCCAGTCTTTGTGCTTGAATTTAAGAAACCCAATTAACATATAAATGTATTTTTTTAAGTCTTAAGGTCTTTACATGGTGGTTTAAAGCAAAAATGTTAATTGTATTTAGTCTTGTGGTCTTTAGAGAAAATTTTATGAGCAGAGATGGTGATAGATTTTCAGAGACAGCAGTCCTAACGTAAAAAACACCTTTTTCTAAGAAAGATTCTTTTGTATGAGACATTAGTCAGTAGAGGTGGTTTATAAGGTTGATGTCCATATAAACACTGGATTGGATCTTTCTCTGGATTCCCATTTTTAATGTTAGCATGTCCTGAAGCTAAGGTGGCACTCTTTGGGACTCAGACCTGGAGATCACCCTTGTGTCTTCTTGCAGCGCACCCCTTACTCTGCCAGGGCTGCCTCCACATGTAATCTCTTCTAAGGGGAAATAAAGATGGGAGAAAAATTAGAATGAAAGATTAGTTTTCCAAAGTCTTGAAAGTTTAACTACTAATGGGAGAATTTGATTGTGTTTTTTTTCCCCCCCAACCTGAACTGGTTAACCATTTCTGTTCCCTATATATGCATCTGTGCCTGAGCCCGGCCCACGAAACTCTTACCCTTTGTAAGAGTGTCATTCATCTCTTAAAATTCCTGTGAAACAATCCAAAATTAGATGATGTCTTCAGGTTTCCTGGCAGGAAGAGCCTTTGGTTAGTTAGCCCCCCACTGACATTCTCAAACAGGACTTTTAAAGGTGCCCTTCAAAGGTGTTTTTCTCTTTGTTCTGAAAATGAGTTTAACTCTTAAAATGTATGCTGGCTATTCTTTTTTTTTTTTTTTTTTTAAAAGAGGCATTTATTTATTTGTTTGTTTTTTGTTTATACATGCACTGGGTACAGTCAGAAGCGCGGGAGGGTGAGAGAATTCACCAGAGCTAGAGCAGGGAGCAGAGCAGGCAGAAGGAGCGAAGTACACTGCTGAGGGGAGCAGCGGGCGGCAGGAGAGGTCTGCGCG